TTTTTTTTTTTTTTTTGAGGCAGAGTCTCACTTGGTTGCTTTGGGTAGAGGGCCATGGCATCATAGCTCACAGCAACCTTAAACTAACTCTTGGGCTCAAGAGACCCTCTTGCCTCAGTCTCCCAAGTAGATGGGACTACAGGCACCTGCTACAATGCTTGACTAGGTTTTCTATTTTTAGTAGAGACAGGATCTCACTCTTGCTCAGGCTGGTGTCAAACTCCTGAGCTTAAGCAGTCTGGCACATCAGCTTCTCAAAGTGCTAGGATTACAGACGTGAACCATCTTGCCCAACTCTGTAACTTTTATTAATAAGAGAATTTATGAACTTTTCCCCAAATTTGCTCTTTCTACTTAATCTTTATTTTTCTTTCCATCTATTTACACTTCTCATATTCTAGTTTGCAACCTGTTGCATAATGTAAAAATGTGTCATGCTAATTCTTCCACAGTAGTTTTTACTGAACCAAAATTATTTATGTGGCTTTATGTTTAGAGATTGTTGATTATTTTTTCCTATTCTTTAAAGTAAACTTTTTATGTAATAGTAAGAAACAAATATATTTATGTAACCATTTGTTATTTTAAGAACCTATAGTTTACCACTTTTCCCCCCTTCTGACTCCTTAGTTGCACATGGGAAATGTTTATGAGGCTGGAAAACTGAACCTCGTAACAGTTATTCAGTTATTAAATGAAGTCTTGAAAGTAATGAATTATGAACGTTGTCAGGCTGACCAAGCAAGACTGACAATAGATCTTCACTACCTTGAAAAAGAGACCAAGTTTCAGAGGGGAAGATTATCAGATCTGAAGCAAATGAGGTACACTAGAAAGATCTTCTGTGATTTTACTGTGGGAGGACGAGGGTAGTTTCTTAAGTGATAACTCTCAGCTTTGTCAAATAAGTGTCAATTTTTTTTTTTTTTTTTTTTTTTTAGAGACAGTCTCACTTTAATCTCCCTCAGTAGAGTGCCATGGGGTCACACTGCTCACAGCAACCTCCAACTCCTGGGCTTAGGCAATTCTCTTGCGTCAATCTCCTGAGTAGCTGGGACTACAGGTGCCTGCCACAACGCCCAGCTTATTTTTTTGTTCCAGTTTGGCCGGGGCTGGGTTTGAACCGACCATCCTCGGTCTACTGGGCTGGCGCCTTACTCACTGAGCCACAGGCGCCGCCCTAAGTGTGAGAATTTTACTAGTACTGAAAACTTTATATAATCTTGGAGAGACATATGAAGTAGAAAGAAAGATTAATGGAATAAATGATTTGCTCTGGGTGATAATTCTTTATGAAATAATTTGATCTTTTCTCTAGTTTTTCTTTCTTTGGGTCCAATAATAAAATGGTGCTTCAGAAAAGTTTTTATTTGACCAGAAAGACTGGAAAATATGGGTTGTTTCTAGGAATGGATAGAGAGTAGAAGTAAAATTCTGACTGAAGTTTAGAGTCAGGAAAGAAATTGTAATTTGAAGATATAGTAATAGAGATGTGTGATTGCTTTTTGGTTTTACAAGGAGAAAAAGTACTTTAGGTTCTAAACATTCACTTACAAGCATTTATTCAATTTATGTTTTGTATTTGTTGAACTTTTGGTTGTATTTCCTTTCCCTTCCCTATAGCTATTGTTGTTTTTATAAATTTTGCTCAATGCTTTTTTTTTTTTTTTTTTTTTTAAATTGAGGCAAAGTCTTACTTTGTCACCCTTGGTAGGATGCCATGGCATCTTAGCTCACAGCAACCTCAAACTCTTGGGCTTAAGCGAGTCTCTTGTCTCAGCCTCCCTAGTAGCTGGGATTACAGGTACCCACCACAACACCTGGCTATTTGTTGTTGTTGTTTAGCAAGCCCAAGCTGGGAGCATGTGGCTGGTGCCCCCCAATGCTTTTTTTATATTCATGTTTTGAATAAATTTTTTTATATTATCATAGGTGCAAAATACAAGAAGATCTCACAAATGTAAGACGTTCTGTTGTTGAAAAGCAAGGAGAATGGCATAAGAAGTGGAAAGAATTTCTTGGTCTGTCTCCTTTCAGTCTAATAAAAAATTTGACTCCAGTAAGTAATATTGACTTGCCATTTGGAGAGTAGTTTGTATATATTGCTATCTCTTGATTTATCATGTTATAAATGACCTAGAAATTCTATGTGTATACATATTTGCCATCTTTTCCTTCTGAGCCTAAAGTTCAAGTGTTTTGATTTCCATGAATTTACTAAATATATAATAGGATATTCATTACGCTCCTGTTGTCATTTATAGTAACATTTTTAGATTCAGAGGTTTATACTAAAATGAAAACAAGACTTTCCTCTTGATACAAGGTACTGTGACATTTGAGGCCTAGTTGTAAGAAGTAGTCCCCTTGTTCATAATGTACTCTTTGGTCCAAAATAATTATAAGACATATGCTCAGTAACTGTCTGTTAGGGAAAAATAAAATAATGCATTTATAGATTAACTTTGCATTGTTATTGTGCTAATTAACAAATGTGTTTACTTTAAAATTGTGAATTCTCTATTTTAAGGCTGTGGATCTTTTACCACCTATGTCTCCTCTCTCCTTTGATCCTGCGTCGGAAGAAGCATATGCAAGGAGTATTCTTTTTCAGTACCCTGCTTCGCTTTCAGGTTCGCTATTTATCTTTTTCTCTTTTAAACCTTCTTCCTGTCATTATTTCTTATTATTACAATAGATCTTTATATTCTTTGTTTTTTCTTCCAGTTATTTTTTTTATTGTGCTAGAATGCACATAAAATTCACCATTTTAATTATTGCAGTGTGTACAACTCAGAGACATTTAGTAAATTCACACTGTTGTGCAGTCGTCACCACTATAAGGTTCCAGAACATTTCATCATGTGCAAGTTTTTGGGTGGAAACTCACAATTTTTTTATTTTTTTTGCAGTTTTTGGCTGGGGCTGGGTTTGAACCCGCCACCTCTGGCATATGGGGCCGGTGGGGCCAGCGCTCTTCTCCTTTGAGCCACAGGTGCTGCCCAGGAAGCTCACAATTTTTTTAACATGAAAGAGTAGTACAGTAATTAATCTGAATACCTACCACCTGTTTCAATAAGTAACATTTGCCATATTTAATTTATATGTGTGTGTATATATATATATTTTGGCCAAATCAAGTAAATTCTAGACATTGTGACACCTCACTCTTTGTGTTTCAATAAAAATAAGGACATTTTACTATATAACTGCCATACTGTTGTCACACCTAAAAAATTAACAATAATTCTATAATATTTCTTTTCAAAAAATTTTTTTTTGGAAACAGAGTCTCACTCTGTCACCCTGGGTAGAGTATGATGGCGTCATAGTGCACAACAACCTCAGTGATCCTTTTGCCTCAGCCTCCTGAGTAGCTGGGCCTACAGGGGCCTGCCATAATGCCCTGCTAGTTTTTTCTATTTTTAGTAGAGATAGGCTCTCACTCTTGCTCAGGCTGGTCTTGAACTCCTAAGCTCAGGCGACCCACCTATCTCAGCCTCCCAGAGTATTAGAATTCCAGGCATGAGCCACCACACCCAGCTTCATACTCATTTTTCCCCAACCTCTTAGCATTATCACACCTAAAATTAATGTTTATACATCCATTCATTTTCACTTTGCTCAACTGCACAGTACTTGTGTATAAGAAATTTCAATTGGGTTCAATAAATAGAAGCCATATAATTGGAGGAATGAATGAATAAAAAATGAACAGCCTATTTAGCCAAACTGGAGTCAGGTAATAGGTGTAGGTCATAGTTTAGGCAAGCTGAAGGTCATGATGGCAGACAGCACAGGATTTAATCATTGGGGTAGGGAATTGATTTGAGAGTCTGGCATATTTGGGGAAGATACAAGTTGAGAAAAATCATAGGCCAGAGTGCAAGACTTAGAATGGGTACAACCAGAAGAGTGGACACAGAAAAGGCTGCATGATTTGATGAAGAAAGCTTCAGATAGAATGTTCTGGTTCCACAGTAGCTTTGGACAGTCATTTATTATGACAATAGAATTATTATTATTATTGTTATTTTTTGAGACAGCCTCAAGCTGTCATCCTGGGTAGAGTGCTGTGACATCACAGCTCATAGCAACCTCCAACTCATGGGCTCAAGGGATTCTCCTGCCTCTGCCTCCCAAGTAGCTGGGACTACAGGCGCC